CGAGCGGCCGGAGCCCGGCCGGCGGTCCGCAGCTCCAGGCCGGCTCCTCCCGGGGCCTGGCTGCCCACGGCTGGGCGCGGGGGCCGGTGGTTGAGGGGCTCACCTCGAACATGAGCCCCAGCAGGAAGAGCATCGCCAAGCAGGACACGATGTCCGCGTGATTCTGCACAACGAATTCGTGGCTCAGCAGCGGCGGGCTCTTGTTGCTCTTCTTGCGAATCGCCATGGTGGGGCCGCCGCCGCTGGCTGCAGGTGCTCCCTCTGCCCGGCTCCGCGCTCTCCGGTGCTCACCGACTCGCCGCCGCCTCCTCCCGCTGGCTGCTCCTCACCGCCCCGCCGCAGCAGCTCGCTGGGGCTTCACTTCCCATCCCACAGCCAGTACGCAGCCGCCGGGGCCGCCCGGAAAAAAAAAAAAAAAATCCAGCCGGTAGTGGGGACGAGCATGCGCACCAGGGAGAGACCGCCTGCTCGCACCGTGCGAGCTCACAGCGCCTCCTGCCGGCCGGAGGCCGCGGGACCCGAGCGGCGCGACCCAGCTTCGCGCCAGGCTAGGGGTTGGGGGTTTAAGGCTCGAGCTTTCTGGGTCTGGCTAACTGACCGAGACCGCCGCCTGGTGCGAAGGCGGCCGCGTGCGGTGTTGTGCAGAGCCGCCGGGTGCATTCCTGGCCCACCCACCCCCGTGCGTGTGTGCAAACACTTTCTTCCCCACTACTGCTGTCCACAAAAATTTGGAAGCATGACCACAGCCTGCCTACACGTGGGTCATTCGGTAGTTTGAGCGTCTGCCTTAAAATTTTGCAGCAGACAGACCTAGGGTTGTGGCACATGCCTTTAATCCCAGTATTTGGGAGGTTGAGGCAGAAGTTCTGTGAATTTAAGACCACCTGGGGCTACGCAGGCAAGACTTGTTTCAAAAAGAAAAATAGTTCAGTTAAACTCTTGCTAACCTCAGAGTTAAAAGCACCTGTGTCTAACCCGCACTGGGGGTGGGTTAGATTTACCTGGTGCATACTAGCACTTCTTAGTACTCCTGGGGATAGTGAAAAAGGATTGAATAAAAGACATGTCCTCCTCCTACAGTGCTGGCTAATCAGGAATCTGTTAATTCTTTTTCCTGAAGAAGCGCACCATTTACCCACCTATTTTCCCAATCTAGAAATTAAGCTGCATTCTTCTAGCATCCTTTGACCGCTAATTCAGCACCAAATCCTGGCAATTCAGGCCCCCACCCTATTCCCACTACCATAGTCCCGGGAGGACTTACCTTCAGCCTGCATTATTATGTCTCTGGTGAAATGGTAATAGTTTTAAAAGGTGATTATTGAATCCGTATTCAATTTACTACCTGCTTATTTTCGCAAATTACTTAATCTCTGAGACTCGATTTCCTTACTTATGTATTCATTTACTCCAAAAAGAATGGGGATTAGGAGTCAACTATGTACCAGGCACTCATTGGGATTCAGAACTCAAGGAAAAATTCAAATTAGCCTAGTCTTGTGGGCTTTCATTCTCTTGTGGGGAGGGAATCTTTAAACAAGATTTCGAAAGTGAAACATACGTTAAATAGAGCTGAAGCCCCAGGAGAAAAATATAGGGAATAGGGGGCGCATAAAGACTGCATTGCCTGAAGACAGGAAGTAGAAAAAGTGAACCAGTGAGTTTCATCGTTAAAAGGGCAGGGGGAGGGGCATTCACGTTAGCAATTAGCAGTTAAATATGATGCTTCAAGGAAAGTGCTTGCCGGGAATCTAGTTAGTTAGCTATTATTATTTTCCTTTTTGTGCAAAATCATGAGTTTCACTTCCTTTTCTCCTTTTTTTTTTTTTTAACTAGGATGGAAAGCTAGCTTGACTAAACATCTCCTTATGATTTGGCCCTGCATACCAAAACAGGCTTGGTCCTGCCCCTTGCCACACCCCCTACCCCACCTCTCTGACCTCCATTGATGACTCCTCACTGGGATGTAGATATGACACAGTACCCCAAGCTCCTCTCTGCCTGTCTGAACATTTTCCTGTCTTCTCATATACCTACAGCCTGTGGTTCCTTCAGGTCTCCCTGGTGTGTGACCTCTGAAATCTTCACTGATTCTATGACTGGCCTAACCTATCTGATTTTGTATTCTTACTTACTTTATTATTATTTTTGAGACAGGGTTTCCCTGTAGCCCCAGCTGGCCTGGAACTTACTAGGTAGACCAGGCTGTCTTCCATCTCGCAGAGATCCACCTGTCTCTACCTCCGGAGTGCTGGGATTAAAGGCGTGGGCCACCACACCGAACCCAGTTGTGTTCTTAAGGAGTTTTATTGCTATAAAATTATAGCATTTGCCTATTTAAGGTCTATAATCCAATAAATTTTTAGTATATTTATGAAGTTGTGCAACTGTCACCATAACCCAACTTTAGAATTTTTACCATCTCCCAAAGAAGAGATTAGCAGTGTTATGGTTTGGATGTTAAATGTTCCCCCAAAGTCATGTACTAAAAGTTTCATCTAGGGCTGATGGGAGTATTGGGAGGTGGTAGAAATCCTAGGAGGGAGGGCCTACTTGAAGGAGGTATGTCACTGGGGCCTGTCTGTTTTCATTGTTTTTGTTTTGGTTTGTGTTTTAGATTGAGTCTCACTCTGTAACCCAGGCTACCCTCAGACTCACACCATAGCCTAGTTTAACTTCAAACTCACTGCAGTCCTCCCACTTTATCCTCTGAGTGGTGAGATTACAGACATGAACCATACTCCTCCTTCCTGTCCTTCTCCATCATTGCTTCCTGGCTACACTGTGGTCAGCTGCTTTGCTTCATTCTAGACAGTGATGTTCTGCATTACCTTGAGCCCCACATGATGAAGCCAAGCCACCATGGATGGAAACTTGTGAAAACGAAAGTCCTATGTTTTCAAGTTTGGGGGTTTTGTTTTGTTTTGTTTGAGACTGGGTCTCACTGTGTAGCCCTGGCTGGCCCGGAACTCACTATGTAGACCAGGCTGGCCTCGAACTCATAGAAATTCACCTGCCTCTGCCTTCCTGGTGCTGGGATTAAAGGCAAGTGCCACCATACCTGGTCTTCAAGTTTTTATTGAAATTTATTGAAACCCAATCAATATTCATCAAAAATTATTTCACGTGGGCTAGAATGAAACTTTAAGATACTTTACCTAAGAGGAGAATGTAAAAATGACTTGATATATAGTTCTACAAATACCCTAGTCTTAAAGATGCTTAAGGAGGACTTTGCAATGCATTGATCAAATCTTGAGCACGAGGGACATATTTTCGAGTAAGACAGATTTAGTCTTTGTTCTTGGTATTCATGCCTGGAATGGAAGACTAAAAATAAGCAAGTGTATTCGTTACTTTTCTAGTTGGTGTGACAGAATGCCTGGCAAAACAAAATAAGGGAAAAAAGCATTTATTTTTTGTCACAGGTTTTTTTCAGCATGATTTAAAAAAATTATTCATTTATTTTATTTTATGTTGTATGAGTGTTATACCTGCACATATGTAAGTGCACCCGTGTCATGCAGTGCCCTCGGAGGTCAGAAGAGGGTGTCAGATCCCCTAGAACTGGAACTATGGACAGTTTTAGCCACCATGTGGTTGCTAAATTCGAACCTAGGTCTTCTGCAAGAAGAGCCAGTGCTTTTAACCACTGAGCCATCCCTCCAGTCCCTTATTTGGGGTCACAGTTTAAGTAGATATAGTGCATCCTGGTAAGGAAGGCACAATGTAAGGCAACTGCTCACATTGTGTCTGCAGTCAGGAAGCAGGGAGATGCCAATGCTTACTAATTGGCTGTCTCCTTTTCCTTTTTTCTTCACACAGAGAACTCAGCCCACAGGACAGGGCCACCCACATTCCCTCCTCAGTAAAACTCTCTGGAAGCTCTGTTAAAGACAAACCCAGAGGTATGTCTCCTGGGTGATTCCAAATTTGGTCAATATGACAATGAAGATTAAGCATTCCAGGTTTACCCCTTGTTAATTTGATACCCAAACACATCACTTTTAAACCATAACCTTCCACCCCTGGTCCTCCAAGGCCCATGGCCATTTCATAAGGCAAAATACATTTAGTTCATCTGTAAGCAATACCCAAAGTTTTAACATTGCTAACTAGCATTGTTCAAAAGCTCAAAGTCTCTTCTAAGACTCAAAGCAATCTCTTAATTGTAAGCCCCTATAAAATAAAAAAATTAGGCCCAACTTCCAACAGTGGCACAGAATAAACATTCCCATTCCAAATGGAGAAATAGGAGCATAGTAAAGAAAGACCAAAAACTCAGCAGGGCAAATGTCAAATCCTTCAAGCCCTTGTCTGGCATCTGGTGCCCAGTGATAGATAGCATCATGTAGGCTTTAATGTGCTTGGGTTGCCACACCCTCTAACTCTGCTGTCTGTAGCACATGTGCCCTCTCTCTCTCTCATGGAGCAGCTCTGCTCCATGACTACAGCTTTCCTCTGCAGACATCCTATGATCCTGATATCTCCAATATTTTGGTATCTCCATTGCCAACTTAATTCACCTTCACAGCTTCACAAAATGGCCTCTCAGGGAGTCTGGGCAGGGAATCCAACCTTGCCACACATCACTTGCTCTTGGCAATTTTTTGAGACATTGGTGCAAGCCTTTATGACCCCATAACTCTTTCATTTTGCATGATTGCAAAACTAGCGCCATGTGGACTATGCTACCAAATTTTTCTGCCACCTTGAGATGTGTACTGGCCCCTTAATCACAGCTCTGGTGGCCTGTGTGTGCCTTGGTGTGGTTGTTTTCAAGCAGAGAACTCCCTTGAGCAGTACTTTCAGTGTGGACTTTCACTTTTCAAATTGATTAGTATTTTTTACAAGTTAGGGCCTTCCATGGGTAGGGGAGGGGCTGTTCCAGGGCAACCTGCCTTCGTTATTTTTCTTGTTGTTGTGATAAAATACTCTGACAAAGCAACTTAAGGAAGAAAGGGTTTATTTTGGCTCACAGTTTGAGGTTTCAGTCCACCATGATGGGGTAGTAACAGCTGGTCATATCTATCCACAGTCAGGAAGCATAGAAGGGCAAATAAATGCCTGTGCACTGCTCACTTTCTCATTATTGTACAGTTGGATCCCATTCCAGGGAATGGAAACACCCACAGTGGAGGAGTCTTCCCACCTCAATTAACCTAATCAAGATAACCCCCAGAGCACCTGGGTTTGGTTCCCAGCACCCAATTGTGGCTAACAACTGTCCATAACTCCTGTTCCAGACCAGTTCTGATGCCCCCTTCTGGCATTCATGGGGATTGCATGCATGTGTGCACTTACATACATGCAGGGGGAACATTCATACACATAAAATGCAGATAAATATATTTAAATATTAAAAAATTAAGTAGAGAGAGATGAATACTGGCCTCCTCTCTTTTCCCTTTT